TTTAAAGACAAGATTTACTATTAATAGAATTAATAATATTAAAAATTCAGTGTCTTAAATTCCATAAATAGCTAAGATTTCTTGGCATTCTTACTTAGATATCGGAATTTGTTAATATTTTAAAACGATTTTGGTATTTAATAATTGTAAAAATAATATAGAGATTTAAAATACAAAAAAAAAACCCAAAATCATTTAAAAATATTTAATTTTTTTAATGAAATTTATAAATTGATTTTCTTTAAATATTTTTCCAAGTGTGAATTTGCCTTGTACTAGTCTCGCTCTCTCTCTCTCTCACTGCCGCTTCTTATTTTTCTCCACCGATTCGCAATGCACTTGCTTATACAACAAAAAGAACGAACGAGCGTTAAATACTTAAAAAGAAAAATATATTTTCTCACTGCCACTTGACGTAATTTAAATTGTATAATATGCATGGTAAAAGTAAATTTCAATGTCTTTGCATTCTCGCTTTTTGCTGCTCGACTTTAGTCACGCATTCGTCGTATATAGTAGCTACGTATTATATTTGATAAAAAGGGGGGAAAGAGAGGCCAAAGATCACCCAAGGTTATTTTGCAATTACCCGTTACAAAACGATAAGAGGCAGTGCTTCTAGGCTTATTTCCAAGTCTGATAATGGACCAGTGGGAAAAATAACTGGAGCGAGACTCCAAGAATGAAGCCAAAAATGCCGAGTTAGCATTGAAATATGCTCGAGATTTAGATAGCGATGGAGGGGCACAGAGATAATTACACTCGGTTGCCATGGAAAACGCAAATACATGTGGAATATACATATAATTATATACTGGGTACATTCTGAGCTGATTGATTTATACTAAGATGTCACAAAAAACTCTGGTTTTAATGCTATCAAATACACATCCTTACATAAACCCAATTTTATAACGAGTTTAATAGATAAATATTAATGTGTAGATGTTTCTAAAAATATTTTACGCTTTTCATTTCATTTAAATGAAATTATAATGATTACGAAGTTGAAGATATATTTTAAGATATCCCAGAATAGTAATAATTGATCTGTTTTTGGTATAAGTAAGATCGTTGACATCATGGCTATCAATACCAATTGTCAACAAAAATTAAAAAAAAAAAAAAAAAACTCGCGAATAGCGGTTTTGCGATACAAATACAAATAGAACCGACGATGGGTGGCAAAGCAAATTGGCAGCTAAAGCAAAAGGTGTACAAACAGAAAGCGAAAATTTGCAGACACGCAAACACCGATAAAGGTGAAGCACACAGAGACACACAACACGTTACCTGCTAATCTTATCACGAAATGGAATGCAATATTCCGGGGGAATACAACAAAAGCAAAGAAAAGGCAAAGAGTCATCAAACTTGGTTGCACGACAAATCGATTTTTTGTGCTTTTTAAAACCTTTTAGCAGAGCGCCTAAAATTGCGCCTCGAATCTATAAATCGGGAAATTAAAGAATGTCTGCATCTTATATCAAAATTAATATTTAATTTAAGTTAAATGATAATCCAAAAAAAAAACTGACAATTGTACGCCCAGAAAAGGAAAGCCAGCATATTCACAAATTGTTGAAACATATATCGTCCATCTGATATAAAGATTTTATCTAAGCCTAAGTACAATATTCCCACATATAATTGCAACCTAAATTTTGAGGTCCCTAGAATCTAATATAAACAATCCTTAGGTTTTCTAAGGACGTAACTAGAAGCATTATACACTTAATGTTTTTAAACGTTAAATCCCTGTTTTACAAAATACGAGAGTCTAAATATTTTATACCAATTACAAGGGTAATCTCGACACAATAAAGTTAGCTATCCATTTTAGGTTTGTTACCTTTTAGATGATACAGAATCATCTTCTGGCGCTCCTCTTTAGACTTAGCCAACAAGGGCTCCCGCTTATCCTTGGGTATATTCATATCCTCAATTATTTCCAGAAACTGAGCATCCACCTGCGCCTCGCTCAGCTCCTGAATGTGCCGCTCCCAGTCCTCCACGCCCTGGACAGCGTCATTGTCCGACGACACGGGCCTTCCACCATGGGTTAGGGTTCCGCTGTTTATGCTTCCCCCTTTCGACTTCGAGGGTCTGCCGAACAGGCTTTCCAGGATCCCACCGCCTGTAGACTTTGCTTTTTCCTGACGTGACATTCTGTAATGAAAAACGATTAAATTAATAAGGATATTTTCCAATGTTTTGTAAAAGATAAATAACTTGAGCGCACCCCATCTTTTTGAGACGCATTTTGGAGAAGAACTAAACGAAAACTAAACCAAAACAACTGTGCATTTTTGGGACATGCGCAGAATATATGGAAGATTCAATAGGAAAACTTTTACAGCTGTTCTTTGTTTACATTAAACGGGCGAGAGGTGAACGGGGGCTGTGATTTCTGATGAGTTTCCAATGAATATGCAATCGATGGATGTTCAGTGGGGGCTGCGGGATCATTATCAGCTCGGTTTATTTACAATTATTTCTCGGATGCCTCAGAAAGTCGATTTTTCAATTAGCGTTTACAAGTGGGAGGAGAGGCAAGTACGGTGTGGATCCTTTTTAAAAGGAAAACCTATCCATTAAATAGTATGATTAAGTTCTGGTGAAAATATAATATTTAAGAGATGAATACAATTTACTTTTTCTAATAAGATTAAGATTGTTGCTGTCACTGTGATACGATTTACTACTTTTTAAAATTATGATTAAATTAGGATTACACTCCCTAATTTCCCATTCATTATAAAGGCTCATGAAATATAAATGGAACCATTAACCACTGTGCTAGTAAAAAAAACATTCGAAGCGTGAAAACGGCTGATTATAATCGTAAACAACAAAAAATCACACGAATAAACGAAGCAAATTGGACAAATTCATTAATAATACCGCGCACTAAATTTACAAAATGATGCGATAATCACCGCAGACCAAAATAGGAAATAGCACTAAATACAGAGAGCTAAATAGAGAATAGAGAGTGAAGAGCGATTAGAATTTATGGTTATTGTGTGTGATTCATATTCGGCTAGGCCACAATGCAAGCCGTTAACATTTGAATTGGCTTATATATTTATGTATGTACGTATGTATTTAATATTGAAGGATGCGGTGGGAACGCTTAGGCTTTGGCTTTAGACAACACATCTAATGAATCACTAATGGCCAGCAGAAGTTGGAGAGGGGTAAAAAAAGCAAAATAAAAAAGGCAAACGAGCAACAGGTTTTGCGGATTGTTCTTGCTCGTTGCACTGAACAAAACGCCCTGATTTATATTTATATTTAAAACTTCTATCATCACAGGCAAAAATTAATTTTTCAATGAGTTTTTATTAATAAAAAAAATGTTCATACATTTAAAAAGTAAATAAATTTAATGGAGTTTGTCAATTTACAAGTGTATAATATTATTGTGAAAAAAATAATAACAGTGAAAATGATTGTTATTTTAGCAACAATATTTTGATTTTTTGTATCTGTGTTAAATATGTTAAAATATCCAGTTTTTAAATTTAAAAAAAAATCTAGATAAGGAGGAAACTTTTTCTTGCAGTGTTTGGTGAATGGGCGTGCCAACTCTCTGCAAATCATTCACAATTGTCAGGCGGTGGAGAAATCAAATTTAATATTTATTATGACTCCGCAAAAGGGCAATTGTGAATGAGGCTCAAGTGTGTGTTTTTGTGGAGTGTGTGTGGGAAGAAGCAGAACTAGAGGAGGAGGAGGAAAAGGAGGCAGCAGTCTGGAGCGACAAGTTCAAGCAGGGCAACAATTTCTTTTCAGGTCGCTACGACGAGCCAAGCCAAGCCATGGAAAGCTAAGCAGCACAAGCATTTGCGGAGGAAATGCTTTCAACAAGATTTCTTTTGCCAAAGAATTTACAGCAATTGCCTCTTTCTCTATTTTGTTTACATGCCGTAGAAGGCACTGCACCGCATCTTTCTCTCTGCCCCTCTCTTTCCCACTCTATGTTTTGTCCATAGAAGTGTGTGTGTGTGAATAGTTCAGAGGCCGCTGCAACTGCGAAAATGTAAACAAGCCCAAAAAGAAAAGGAATAAGACTTTTAATAACCGCTGGAATTCCAAGAAAAGAGCCAGTTTTTGGAAAGACACAAAAAATGCGCTCACCTTCGCTTTGATATCTGTGTCGTCTGTGCTCACTTTTGATTTTTTTCGGTGGTTTACGTCATAAGACCAGAAAAAATAATGGCTTGGCGTTCACACACACACACACACACACACACACACACACTCACACTCGCGATCAAACGGCTTTGCCTGCTGTCAGTTGTTGTTGTTGTCGTTTTTGGGTTTCTGACTTTTTGTTTGTTTTATTGCGCGACGCTGGCACAAAAAAGCTGCGCGCACCGCTTAAAAAGTGTGCTTGCTGCGCTGCGTGGTTTTCAAATCCAAATACCAGTCAGCAGCCTTTATGCGGAGGAAGCCTAGCCACCGTGAAGTTGAAGTTATCTTACTTTTTTTTAGTCGCTCTTTCCTTTTTGCCACCACTTGTTGCTCGGCTGCCGCGGATGACACATGAAATATACACTCAGTTTTTGTACTGTTTCGCTCTTCAAACACTTGGCCGTATCGCTGTAGGTTACTTGGCACCTAGATCGTTGCTTCTTCGCGTCCCGTAAATCGCAAAAATATTGAAATAAAAACAGCAGCGTTTTGCTCAGCGCGTTGATCGGCAATAGTGTGACCGTGGCGAACTGCCACGAAAATACCGTTGGCTGTTATTTGAAATGCGTAGTGTGCCCGAAGGCTTGTCCGCTTAACGACATAAACAAACGAATTTCCGGCATGCATTTCCAGGAGACTAGAAGGAAAAGGAAAATTTCTACAAGAAAACGTAGACAAACTACTTGAGAAGAAATGAGCACTTATGCATCAGCGTTACCAGACTGCGCTGGGAAAATTCACGATCGGAAATGGTGTAACCGTATTCTACAAGAAAAAAAATTCCAAGTTGGCATCCCCGTGGCACCAAACATCTGTTCTTTTAGACCGGGCGACAAACGTCGACCCCTTTGATACTTTGCTTTCGTTGAAATTCATTTTTGTGTTCTGAAAATGAGCCAAGATTAACTAGAATGCAGCGTGACAAAGGCTCATCCGGATTTAATGCCCGCAAGGGCAACCGTCCGCCTGGGCTTAGGGGCAAGGAAATCGGACTGTACTACCGCAATCTCACCCGGCAGCGCAAAAAGGAGCGTGGCGAGGATGAAAACCCCATAGAACCCAAAATCCACCTGGGATGCAAAGTCAGCGTGCCCAGTGGGGTTCTCGAACGCGTCAAGGAGTACATGGAGGAATATAACCAAACACCGGCGAAGGAAAACTCCGATGTCGACGGACAGTTCAAGCGTCAGTTTCGATATCTTCTGAGCGTCAACTTCGAGGAATTCGTGGCGGAAACCAAGGAGGAGAACGAAGACGTTAGCTATACGAATCCCAAGCTGGACGAGATGTTGCGGCAGGAGCTGGAGCAGCGCCAGCAGGAGGACGCGGCCAGGAAACGTCTCCAAGCACGTCAAAAACTTCCCACCATGCGATATGCCAATGACATAGTTCAGGCCGTAAAGGATAACCAGGTTATTCTTGTTGTGGGAAGCACTGGCTGTGGCAAAACTACACAAGTACCTCAGATCCTTCTCGATGACGCCATATCCCGAGGCTGTGGATCAGAATGTCGGATTATTTGCACTCAACCTAGAAGGATTTCGGCCATAACCATTGCCGAGTGGGTCAGCTACGAGCGCTGCGAGAGTCTCGGCTCATCAGTTGGCTATCAGATCCGCCTGGAGAGCAGAAAGCCCCGCGATAGGGCCTCCATCACCTACTGCACCACGGGGGTGCTGCTGCAGCAACTCCAATCGGATCCGCTGATGCACAATTTAAGTGTCCTTATTTTGGACGAGATACACGAACGCAGCGTGGAAACGGATTTGCTTATGGGTTTGCTGAAGGTAATCCTGCCGCACCGGCCCGAACTGAAGGTGATCCTGATGAGCGCCACAGTGCGGGAGCAGGATTTCTGCGATTACTTCGGCAACTGTCCCATGTTTCGCATTGAGGGCGTCATGTTTCCTGTACGGATGCTATACCTGGAGGATGTCCTGGCCGTGACCAACTACGAGTTCGGCAACTCCCATGACCGTCGCCCCAAGCGCTGTCGTCCCGAGCAAAAGATGCAGCATCAGGCAATGATAGAACCGTATTTGCGACGCATCAGGAACTCATACGACAGTCGCGTCCTTGAGAAACTGCGCCTGCCAGAGTCGGAAGGGTGCGAGGACCTGGATTTTATTGCTCATCTCGTGTACTACATCTGTGAAAACGAGCCGGAGGGTGCGATCTTGGTGTTCCTGCCGGGCTATGATAAAATCTCGCAGCTTTACAATCTCCTGCAAAGTCCTCAGTCTCCCAAAGGACAGAGATGGCGCGACAATCTGGTGGTCTTTCCCCTGCATTCCCTCATGCAATCGACGGAACAGAAGGCCGTTTTCCGTCATCCGCCATCGGGCAAGCGAAAAGTCATCATATCCACCATGATTGCCGAGACTTCGGTGACCATTGACGATGTGGTATATGTCATCAACTCTGGACGCACGAAATCCACCAACTATGATATAGAGACGAACATACAGACCCTGGAGGAGGTATGGGTGACCAAGGCGAATACGCAACAGAGAAAGGGAAGAGCTGGTCGCGTGAGGCCGGGAATCTGCTACAATCTGTTTAGCCGCGCCAGGGAGGACCTAATGGAGGAGATTCCTACGCCGGAGATACTGCGCTCGAAGCTGGAATCGATCATTTTGATTTTGAAGCTGCTGCACATCGATGATCCGTACCGCTTTCTGCAAACCCTGATCAATGCCCCCAATCCGGAGGCGATCAGGATTGGTGTGAACCTACTGATGCGGTAAGTTCGGTGGTTAAATTTACTTGAAAGACCAACTCAAAGATGCCTTTCTACTTAGAATTGAGGCTCTGGACAGTGCTGGCATCCTTACACCGCTGGGCATGCACTTGGCCAAGCTGCCGATCGATCCGCAAATGGGTAAAATGATCCTGATGTCGGCTCTCTTCTGTTGCTTGGATCCAGTAACCTCAGCGGCGGCGGCCTTGTCCTTTAAATCGCCCTTCTATGCCCCGTTGGGTAAGGAGAGCCGGGTGGACGAGATCAAGCGGAAAATGGCACGCAATATGCGAAGTGACCACCTCCTGGTGCACAACACCATCCAGGCCTACCGAGAGAGTCGCCACATGCATGCGGAACGCGACTTTTGCTACAAGAACTTTCTAAGCTCAACGACACTGAATCAGCTGGAGGGAATGAAGAATCAGTTCAGCGAACTCCTCTACAACTACAAGTGAGAAAGGATTACTCCCCTGTAAATTCCAGAAGTCCTCTTCATTGTCCTCTTCAGGTTTCTTACTTCTTCCAACTGCAAGGACAGCGCATCCAACACAAATTCGAGCAAGATCCCTCTGCTAAGAGCTATTATAGGAGCGGGTCTCTACCCCAACATGGCGCATTTGCGGTGGGTTTTAGATGAAGTTTCTCAAATATCATTTAAGAGCTTGTAATTCCAGGAAGTCCCGACAAATCCGGAATCGAGTACGGGCTATTCACACCATGGCCACGGATGATGGCCGCCGTGTCAACTTTCATCCGTCGTCCGTGAACAGCGGCGAGAGTGGCTTCGATTCGTCTTACTTTGTCTACTACCAGCGGCAAAAGTCCTCGAATCTATATCTGCTCGACTCTACAATGGTTTTTCCCATGGCCCTGATCATCTTTGGCGATGGCGTGGAGGCCGGCGTGACGCAAAATACGCCTTATTTGTGCGTGGCCAAGACTTATTAGTAAGCAGAAAGACACATGGCTATGAAGCTAAATCTAATGTGTAACTTTTGCAGCTTTAAATGCAATCCGGAGACGGCCGATGTTGTTTTGGAACTGCGAAGACATCTGGGAAAGCTGCTGCTTAAGAAGGCCATGTATCCGGCGCCCATCGAGGAGAACGGCTACGAAAGGCAGTTGATCAAGTGAGTTAACTGTTGATGTTTGTGCTCTCCAAATTATGATTTTTCACTGCCTTAACAGAGCCATTGAATTGCTCCTCTCGCTGGACGAAAGACTAGGCGAGGACTACATTTCGTCCGATGAAATCGACGACATCTAACTGCCACATCTCAGCCTGGTTTACATAGTTTATTGTATAGCTCTCGGTAAAATCCACTTCGTGAATGTTTTAGTAATAAATTATAGGCGATAAGCTAGTCATGCAACAAGGACTCCCACACATTAGTCATCCTCCAGGAGGGCAAACACATTGCGGGACCTGGGCAGATCCTCCTCAATGGCGCACTCGTCTTCGTCTGCGTTCGTCTCATCGTTGGAACTGTCCTCATCCTCGTCCTCGCTGTCGGCGGCTGTAAAATATAACCTCAAATGTAGTTAAAACATTTCTGAAATCTCTTGAAGTACTCACTGTCCGAGCACACAGAGGATGTGTCGCCGTTGGTCTCACTCTCCGGCTCCTCCAGCTCAACCTGCTGGTACTTCTTGACCTCCGCGAGATCGGTATGCTGGAACCAATGATCTCGTCGCTCCTCATATCCCGGTGGATAGAACTGCAGCACCAACTGCTGCTGCCCGGCCAGGCACATGCGCAGGATGTGATTGGCGGCACGATACCGATCCGGCCTGGCCGCCTTGGCCGTCAGGAAGCCTCTTTTGTAGGCCCAGGCATCTGAAATGGCCACCGCCGACCACTCGTCATAGTCCTCCGGAAGATGAAGCCTTAAAAGCTGCGGCAGGTTCACATGCTCGCCGAGGAACTTTAGCGAGCGGTACGGAACAGCCAGTTGGGAGATCGGGAAGCTGCCCAGAAGCACTTGCAGGCTCTTGGGCGTCGACGAGGGAAAGACTAGACCGGGACAATCGCACAGGCGGACGAGGGGAGTTAGGAAAATGGTCTGAAAATGCTTCGTGTGGCCGGGAGTGCGGCTGACGCTAACCACTTTCCGTCCCTTTAAGGCGTTAATCAGCGAGGACTTGCCCACATTGGGGAAGCCGATGCAGCCGATAGTCAGGACTCCGTTGTGATATCTTACATGCTCGTGGGGCGTGGTGTCGATGCTGCTGCTGATCTTAAGCTCACCCTCAACGGCCGACGTGACCTCGTCCAGGATGTCCAGCTGATCGCTCCGCATGTCGTCGCGTATCTTTTGCTCCCATGCTGTTAGATCCACTTCGCCCTGGACATAGCGCTGGCACTCCTTGTAAATATTATACACACCCTCCATGCTCCGGCGATGAGCCTGCGGTCCACGCTGGCTTCCCTTGCGGGAGCGCGGCAGGAAGGATGCGAATAGGACAACCGGCAACTGGGGATAGCGATCGCGGAAATACTCGCGCCATGCTACCACCACCTGCGGCTCCACGAGATCCACCTTGTTGAACACCACAATGGCCTGCTTCTTAAGCGTGCCAATGATGTAGTCGTAGAGGGAGGGTGGGAACATCAGCGTGGCATAGCGGACGTCCACAATGATGAGCAGGATGTCCGAAAATTCGAGGACACGCCACAATTGGCGCCACGTCTCCAGATTGAGTTCGAACAGGGAAAGCTCCTTGGAATCGCCAGCGCGTTGTTTCTTTTGCAGCTCATCCACGTACTCCTGGGAAGATGAAGTTCAAGTTAGCTAGTTAATAACCAATTAACCAGTAAATGTTTCATTAATTGGTTAGTTTGTATACAAATTCCATTTCAAACTCTCCATGTATCGGGAAACCTGACCTACCTTAAAGTAACGATTCTCACTGCGATCGAGCTGCTCTTTGGAGTTAGCCGGCGCCCACGGCGGACGCACTGGGAAATCGCAGCCAGCGAAGTAGTGCTCGTCCACCTCCCGCTCCTTGGGACTGAGCGCCTCCAGCGGCTTGAAGCCTTCCTGCTTCATCTGCTCCAGTTCCTTCTTCCCCTCCTGGTAAAACTGTAGATTATAGCGATTTACGTTCTTGTTCCGATTGCCGCCACGGGCAAAAGGCTGTTCCATGAGTTTCCTGGTGGTCTCGGGCACATCGCTGTCCTCGTACGATTCCTGGGCGCTCCTTAGGTATTTGGGCGGAACTGCCGACGATGGACATTGTTAGTCATACCAACCAACTGTTCTGTTTTATTTTTTCCCATTCACTGTTCGCCGCAGGTGGGCAATGTTTTCTTACGTTTCGCAGAGCGTTTTTGCAGCATCTGGTCCTTCTTCTTCTTGCCGCTGAAGGCCACCTTGCGCCGTTGCTGGGGCATTGTTTTTGGGTTACGTCCTGGTCTCACTTTAGCTTAATTTTGGTTTATAAACTGCTCTCGCCGTTGTTAATTGTTATTGAATGTGGTTGCCGCTTGTCATTTGCAAATTAAACGTTTCCGTCGAGTTGGCAGTTCCCAAGTGGGAGGAGGGTTGCCGAGCTTTGCAAAGCTTACTATTCGGAATCGTTTTTTGGTTTAAATTCTGGTGAAATGGTTTATTGCCTTTTTAACCATCTTTCAAATCAGTCAAAAAATCTCTTCAGTTTTAACTTTTGTTTTAATTTGGCCTTTAAATTGGGAGCATTTAAAAATTTGCTCGTGTCACGAGTAAGCTCTTGTGGGCGGTTACTTTAAGAGACAAGTTGACAACACTACTGCCATGTCGTTCAAAGTGCAAATTATATTGTCTTTATTAGTTAATTTGGCTTATAACAGCCTGGAAAAATGCCGCTGAAAGGCATAAAAGTTTTGGAATTCGTCGGCCTAGCCCCAGGACCATTATGTGGGAAGATCCTGACCGATTTCGGAGCTACAGTCACCCGCATCGACAAGGTAAACACAAGCACCATGGCCAACTAGGATAATTTTTTGAACTATTATTTATCATATTGTTCTTAACCCCTACATAATCATTATTTTTTGTCGCAGGTCCTGGAAAATCCCATGGATGTCCTGCAGCAGGGGAAGCGCACAATAAGTCTGGATTTAAAGAACCCTCGAGGTCAGCAGTTGGCCCGGCGGTTGGCCACCAAATGCGATGTGCTCATCGAAGGCTTCAGACCCGGAGTTATGGAGAAACTCAATTTGGGACCCGCTGAATTGTGCAAAGAGAATCCTCGGCTGATTTACGCCCGTCTTACGGGCTTTGGACAGCATGGCCGCTTGGCGCCGCGGGCGGGTCATGACATCAACTATGCTGCCATATCGGGAGTGCTTTCCATGTTGGGAAGGAGTCACGAGAAGCCAACGGCCCCCATAAATATCCTCACGGATTTCGCAGGCGGCAGTGTGATGTGTGCTCTGGGCATCTTCGTGGCTCTCTTAGAGCGCTATAAATCGGAAAGAGGTCAAGTTGTAGATGCCTCCATGGTGGAGGGAGCTGCCTACGTTGCCAGCTGGCTGTTTACATCCCGGAGTATGCCCATTTGGGGGCAGGATCGGGGTCGCAACCTCATCGATGGTGGCGCATATTTCTACGACACTTACGAGACCAAAGACGGTCTCTACATGTCCGTGGGCGCCTTGGAGCCACAGTTCTTTGAGGTGCTCAAACAACGATTAGAACTACCAGAAGATCTCAATCAGTTCGGAGAGGGGCATCAGGAGAGGGGAAAGAGGTTACTAACGGAAGCCTTTCTGTCCAAGACCCAAGCTGAATGGTCACAGATTTTCGAGGATGTGGACGCCTGCGTCTACCCCGTGCTGGATTACCGAGAAGTGCATAAGCATGATCACAACAAGGAGCGGGAATCTTTTGGAATAATCCAGGATATGCCAGCGCCATGCCCAGCACCGCGTCTTAGTCGAACTCCTGGAAAGTTGCCGGAGAAGCCCGTTAAGCAGATAGAACTGATCGATGAACTGGAACTTAATCCCCAAGAGCTGAAGGACCTTCTGGAGGCGGGCGTACTAGAACTTCCAGAAAAGTCCAAATTGTAGAAGCCTAAACTTACTTTTAAGTTATAGTTTTTAATATAAACAATGTTTTTGGGAGATTTGATTTAGGTATTTCATTTTTGGTACATATTTCCGCTTGAAAGTCCGTTTAAAATTCAGAATATTAAACTATCTCCAACGAATCAGAAAGGATTACCAGAACAGCAGTGTTTTGCTGAAATTGAAAACTATTACCCGCCTAAAAATATTTATTTAAATAAAACAAATTTATTGTTGTTCTTGCACTCAACGTACTTTTATTCTCGCACACAGACACATTTTACATTTGCTAAAATTTCGCGTACAAGCTATCAGTCATACAAATTTCTTACGAACAGTTTAGGCCTCGCATTGATATTCAGAGGATGGATGGTTAAGGGGTGAATTGAATTGTCAATAATACAGCATATAACATAATCGATTCTCTCCTCTACATATCTTAATCGCAATCGCGGGTCCACGCTCGATCTCTTGCTCTCGTTTATACTCTCTCGCGCGCTTCCTACTTATTGGCTAAATTATGGTTAACTAGCATACCGTGTAGCACATGTCCTTAAATCTAATTGGGCTAAAGCACCGCGCGTCAGCGTCTCCAATTGTCCGTGTATATTTAAGATAATCCATTATAATGCTCATATGTATTTGGGTAATGCATATAGTAGGTTGTAATTGTAATTGTAATGTTGGTGTAAATTTCACTAGTTGGCGTTTGGTGTAAGTATGTGGTGTAGAGTACGTGGTCGTTGTGTAGAGTCCCGCGTAAAGTAATCCTCGTGAGTCCTTGGGTAAGTTGTAGTATATGTATATTGTAAGTCTCAGTTCTCAGTATAAAATCAGTACCATATGTTACGTTTCAATTTGTTTTCTTTCCACACTTGTGTGCGTGTGAGTGTATTTATTTGCATCTCTCTTTAAACGTTTACAAAAAAATATCATTTCTCTGCTGCGCGGGGTGCTTTTGTTCTCACATCTTAGCATACATATATCCTATCATATCGCTCTCACACATGCAGACAACACGAAGGATCAAATCACAGGCAAAGTTACAGTTGCGTTTTAAGTTTATTTATCGATTGTTTAGCTTAGAACAGACGACGACGACGACCACTTGCACACACAAGGGAATGGTTAAAAGGCAAGCCCGACACTGAAAACACTCCAGCTGTGGCGCACCCAAAAAGGGGACACTCCACCTCGTGCTTGGGCTTGCTTTTCCACCTATTGCCCTTAGCTTAACCTAATGACATGAACTCATCTCTTAACAACTAGATGTAACAAACACAGTTGTTGTTGTCGGTTTTAATGATTTTCGATATTTGTTTTTGGAATGATAACATACAGGTTTATACTCAGTCACGTTACAAGCACGCTCATACAGATCGTAAAGGTAGGCATATGTTAGTATGTATGTAAAAGGGGTAGAAATTTGTGCTAAGTTATCTTCTTGGTGATTTCTTCTAGATACAGATACATCAGCCACTCAATTTTTCTTGCTTTTAACAACCATCAATGTCAATCATCACATATTCCATCATCATCATTCAACGCACAAGCATCATTATCATAATGATCAGCACCAAGCTTCATACTCAATCAACACACCTGCGGAGAATGTGCAAAAAGAAAAGAAGAAGGATGAGAATTATGATTATTATTAGTTAACAGATTTGTGCATTGTATGTATCTAATTAGCTAACTTATATCGGAAGTTTGAATCTAAAAATTCAAGGCATCACTTACGTTTCGCATACCACAGCCATAAACGTTCAAGCTTCTTTTTGGGCGTTGCTCAGCTTTCGATCTTCCACAGATTCAAAGAGTCACCAAGCATTCAAGCGGCAAGTAGACATTATGTACTTCCACATCCGCATCCAATCATTCTTAGCGCTATTATTGATATTATTCTAATTAATTTTGGCAATACAAGTTGTGTTCTTCAAAGTTGCCATTTCAAAACTCAAATTTTTGATATGTTGAAATCTGGTTAATCAATTTAACATTTATTTTTCTTTCGTTTGGACGGCTGTGCGATGTTTCATTTATTTCAAAACGAAAAACATATTACCAATTATTAGATTTCTTTTGAAATGACAACTTGTTGAGCTATTAGAATTCATTAAAGAAAGGTTGAATATTCGGATCAAACTTTGTTTAAGGAGTTCTTAAATTATTTTGTTTAAATTATCTTTTTTATTTTAATATTAGAGATGCGCTTAAATCTAAAGTAGTTCACACTGGTTTCACTTGCTCTTAATGTAAATGAAATGTTTTGAAAAGATTTTAAACGGTTAGTTTCCGACTTCATTTTGTATATTCTATTTCTTTTTTTCGTTCACAGTCGCGTCTTTTTTGTAAGGTAGTTCCGGTTATGTTATGACAAAGGAGTAAAAAAGAGTGTGCGTCGTCCTTGAAGTAAGTGTCCAAGTGTCCTGTCTTGTCTTTATGCGCGTTCTACATCCTTATGTAAACAATAAAGCATGTATATGTTTTGTTTTTGTTGTATACCCTGGTCCGTTATTAGTTTTAACTTTAGTATGTTTCGTTTACCTAATTTATACATTTATATATTAATTATACATGTTTTTTATGTGTGCTGCAGGTAGTTGCTTGGTTGTTGTTTTTTGTTTTTGTGTTTTCTCGTTGTTCCATTAATATTACAAAAATAACATAAAATGAGAAGCAAAACTTAAGCGTCATTGGTTGGAATTAATGAGAGAGCACACTAAATAGTTGTAAAAAAAAATTAAAGTTACTTTCATTCTTTTTGTGGTGTTGCTTGTGGGCACGAGCGTGGAAGGTATACAGGATTTATAGCCGGGTATGTGTATATTCTCATTAAAAATGTGTCTGAAAGTATGCCATTTTGGAAAAAGTAACAGCAAACTTTGGGGCACAATTTCAAATTCATAGCTCCACCCCACGCCCTTGCCTTTGTACGTCCCTAAGTCATTTCGTAATTGGTTTTTTGTTGCTAAGTTTTCATTTTTTGTTTCTTTTTTTTTCAGTCGTCTTTGAGTGAGTTACATTTAGTTTCGTTTCTTGTGTAAATTTATATTGAAATCCGTTTAAAATCTTTTTGATTTGCTTACGTTTCTAGAACCATTCGTTTCTTGGGCTTAATTCATAATATCACACAACACACGTCAACACACGCGCGCCAAAGGAAAATGAAGTCGTATTCATCCATTTTCATACATCATAATTTTCGTAGGTTTATTTTTCTCAATCACAAGACCTTTACAGTTCCTTCCAAGCATCCATCACAGATTCACACTATAAGTATATAGGCATTAGGTGTCGGACAACAGTTACTCTTCAGACTTACAGTTAATAATAGTACATACTCGCTCTCTCAGCTCATCACATTCAGCTCAAACGATCACAAAGCACACATCATTCATGCTATTTTGGAGTTTTCTTTTCTTTTTTTCTGATTATGGGTAGTTAGGATTGTGGGATTTACATAAAATATTTCTTAAAAATTAAAGTGCTGGGCAGTTAGCTGCTACCAGTTAATGTTTCCATGGAGTTGCAACGCAGCATATTTAATCATAACTTTTGTTCCACCGATTTTTACACTTAAAAAGTAAACTTGACAAAATTTTAACAACTTTCAACTAAAATATTTTGGTAATACCTAAAATCGGAGCTGAGAATAGCCAGAAACAAGGGCGATTCCAAAAGACACAGGACTGCCCTCGAGAAGCGCTTAAATAATTGTCATATTTGCTGTTGTGGCGAGGAAAGTAAGTTATGTTTTAGTCAATGGGCGCAGTCTGCTTTTGGAGTCGCTGTAGTGTCAACTGACTAATAATTAAATTATTATATCGTAATGGAGGTTCGGGTTCCAGCTTACAACTAGTTTGGGGTTTTATAAACAATGTGTCTTAGCATTTAAACGTTGCACAGCAACAATATAGATCGGACAAACAAACTTAGTAGATAGATTCTTTTTCTTATCAGAGAATTCGGACTGGACTGCAAAAAAAAAAAAAAAAGAAGAAAATTGTGAAGAAATCAAAATCAAAGTATAGGTTGAATTTTTATAATGTGTCGACTCTTGTGTACAAATTTAGGTTTACTTTGTATAACATTTATGCGAAAAAAGGACATCTTTTAGTTGATTTATATTCAAGTTGACTCACAAAAATATCTATACATTTTTATTGCATTTGAAATGTAATAAAAATATTTAAAAAGCTCACATATATTTTTGCAGCATTATCCAAGTCTTCATTTTGACAAAAAAGTCGACACTTCTTAATTAATTATCGATGGTCATATTTGAATTCTTAAAATATATACTTACCAGTTTGGCTGCATAACACACAATTTTTTCGGGGGGAAATGAGGGAGGAAACATTAACCTCTAGAGCATATGATTTACTGCGCGATAACCTGGTTGTTGATCTTCTTGATCTCCTTAGCTGCCCAGGTGCACAACATTTTGGTGCGCTGGCCCTTCGATCGCTTGCCCTCGACCAAAAAGTGGGTAATGATCGCATCGTCCAACATCGGACAGAGACGCGATCCAAACGAAGTGCACAAATCTCCAATAAAGCCGGCGGCGCTGGCCATCATCGAATCAGACACGTCGCCCTCTTGAGCGATGCGCTTTATAAAGCCGATGATGTGAGCGAGATGGGGCTCCATGTGCATTACGTCGGGATGTGCGGTCTGGTCCATGCCCTTCAAGCCTTGGATGATGCCCGTGTAGGCCTCGAGGACGCTTTCGCGCAGCTCGTTGATGTATTCATTCATGTCATAGTTGTTGGCATCAATCTGGAGATTGGAGGCTACGCGTAGCATATCCAGCACCACGCTAAGATACTTGAGGAAGTGGCTGCCGATGCTTAGGGCGATGTCGCCGAAAGCTGACAGGATCTGCGGCTTGACGCTGCGATGCAGAGTCGGTTCCGCCAAATTGTTCAACATCACGGACATGATCTCGTCGCAGTAGGGCACCATCTGATCCTTAACCGCACGGAATATATCACCGGTGACGCCGACAGAGGCGCAGCATACCTGATACTCCTGGTGATTCTTCAGGCCCATGATCAAAAAGTCCTTGAAAGCGGGCATGTACTTGGCAAACTGAACGCCCAGGAGTTCCACCAGAGTTGAAACGGCCAGGAAGGCATCCTCTTGTACGCCACCCGCCTTTCCAGTGCTCGAATTGAACATGGTGAGCAAAGCGGTCATAATGGCATCAGAAATCTGAGGGGCATCCTGCTCGTGGACCTTCCTCAACACACTCTGCAGTGTGGCGCAGAGCAGGGATTGAAGATCGTTGAACTGATGCCGATCGCTGTGGTTATTGATCTGCGTCTCCATCTGCATCACCTGGTTCAAACGCTCCAATATCACAAGCGTCGTGCGCTGCACCACTAGGTAGCAATCCAAGGGCGAGTTCTTTATCATATCCATGAGTGCCTCGTAGGCGGCTCCCCTCAAATTGGCCTGAGCTCCGTCCGAGCGATCGGTGGTCACCAGCAGCTGAGTGATGATGTACTCAAAGAACGGCGACAGTGCGTATGTCTCCGGGGTTTCGCCCTCGGTGGTCACGGCTGCCTCGTATGCGGCGTCCGAGAGACCGATGAAGGCCCAGCAGACGTTGGCGGCCACTCGCGGTTCCGACTTTAAGCTCTTCACAAAGCACTCCAGCAATGTCTGCAGATATGTCTTGTTGATGGCCGCCTCGGGAATGATCTAAAGAATGGAACAATTTGGCAAATATGAAATATTTGGAGCCACAACAAGCTTAAGTTTTACTCACGTCGCAGATACGGCCAAAGGTCCAGGCGGTAGTGTCCCGTACAATGACGCTGTTGTCGTACATCAAGCGGATAAGCGTGGGCATAGCCTGTTCCACAAGCGGCTTGAGGGTGTTTGTCTCTAGTCCGTTCAACACGGATCCGAAGGTCATGACCGCTGCGTCGCGGAAGCGCCAGTTTGGCGACTCGATGTTCTCCTTGATAAAGGGCAAGACATGCGGGACAATCTCATCCTCGCAACAGGTGGCGAGTACCATTAGGCAGACGGAGGCGGCCTTGGACGGGCTCCATGAGTCCTCGTCATCGCACTCGTCCTGCTTGGTCAGCTTTTCGACAAGCACAGGCGTTAGGTACTGCAGAGCGCCGCGAGCATAGTGCTTCGAAACCCGCTGCGGGGCTCTGCCCTGATCCGTGGCCTCCTGGCTTTCGATGGCGAGATCGGTCTCCTCGTCGCACACGTTCGACCAGAACTCTATGCCCTGCAGAGCCACAGCATCGTTGTCCGACTTCATCGCCGCCAAAGTGATCGGGAACAAAGCCTGCGCCATGTAGGGCTCCATGAACTGATAGTACAGGGTTAGAATCTTGACCAAGCACTGCAACGCCGCCACACAGATCTGCGTGTCCTGGCACTGTGTAGCCTCGCACACCACCTCCATGATGAAGTTGCGCTCGATGTCCTTCTCAAAGTTCGACTTGGTAAACTCCAGTGAATTGAGCAGCGCTGTGGTGGCCGCCAATCGGACATGGTTGCTTGGTTCAACCTTGCGCATGCCATGAATAATGGCGGTGAGGACATCGTTGGCCTGGTTCTCCATCACCCCGTGCCGAATATCCTGGCAGATGTAACCTATGGCCTCCAGGGCCGCCTCGCGGTGCATCTCACTGGACCCCTCGCTAACCACCTTGTTGACCAGCGTCTGAATAAGCAGGTTCCACCGATTGATCGGCAGCTCGATTACGGCCACATACGCCACACACTGGGCGGCGCAAGAGGGTCGCGTGTTCTCGGTACCCAAAGCGGCCAGGATCTGCAGGATATCAATGCATTAAATGTATGTATAAATCTGACTTCCAGCAGACTTACATTATTTTTGATGAGCTCGCGAATCTCGGTGGGGAACTGATGCCAGCGCTCCTCATACTGTTGACTGATCTTCTCGTCCTTGCTGGTCAGGTGGTTCTTCAGCTGGAGACCGGCTGCCATGCGAGCAACGGCGCTGTTTGTCGTGTTCACCAGGATCTCCGACAGCGCCTTGAGAAACTCGGGCAGATTGCTGGCAGCAGCCTGCTCCAGGAAGTTCTTCGCCGAAAGCAGTTCATTTTTATCTAAAATGTATGGTTTGTTTTAAAATAATTAATTTAAAATCTATTTAATTTAGCTTTATGATTTTAATTGATAGCTAATAAAAATAATTTAATGTGGAAGCTATTTTCTATGCCCTTATACTAAGCTTAATTTTTTCTCAGTGTATGTGAAAATCTGTTATCTTGGGGCTACCCAAAAAAATAATATAGTGCCAGCCAATAATAATGGACTGTGCGGATATCTCCAACCGGAAGAACCAGTCTCATCAGCTTGAGAATATTTCACAACTAAGAAGCTGAGAAAGCAGATCCCTGCGCTTTGAGGTTATGTCGGGGCCGCCGCAGTTTATAAATCCTTAATTGTAGGAGCGCGTTTATGTGCCGGAATATATACATACATACATATGTACACGCGCTCTATGTGCGACAGGGGAAATGTGCAAATGTGTGTGTGTTCCCCTAGCAACGAAACATATGCGAGCGCCTATTGCAACCCTGCGCAACATACAACGCGCGCGTCCCTCCCGCCAGACGAGAAATAAAACGAATTCAATGAAGAACGAGAATAACCCTGGGAGAAACTTAATAATATCCTACGGGCAGACATGCAACTCACCTGGCGACACCGTCTTCTCCAAAATGGCAATCAGTTGCATGGCTATGTCGGAAGTCATTTTTGCGCTCTTTTTCGTCTCTTTTTACTTTACTTTCCGTTTCTTTCTGCACGTCGCTGCGTTCGTGGGTGGGGGGGTTGGTGGCGTGCGTCAATGTGTGAGTGGCGGAATTTTTGCGTAATTACTAGACAACTGTCAAGCGGCTGCAAATGAAATTGATACAGAACGTAAATTATTATATTTTAACCTTACAGCGACTACTTAGAGCAGGTTGCAACGCCTTGAATGTCACGAAATTGATTTTTTTCGTGTGCACACACACATTCAAGCGGATTGCGAATCACAGTTAACTCACCTTTTTGCTGTTGCTCCGTCCAAGGTTCCTCCTGCCAAAAAGCGCTGAAAATCAATCTGCAATTGCCTTAGTAATAATTTTCGTTAAAGCTCACGAATTTGTTGATTTTTCTCGCGGGGGCAATATTTTTTAGTGGCTGCCTTAAAAATGAGTTGAATGGAACAGCGTGACCGCGCGCGATCCGTTTAATTATACTATCCGGCGCTGCAAACGATATAGAAATAGGCTAAAAAATACCAAAATTACAAGGCTCGGTGGCAACAATTGAGCTTCTCTGCGAACTGACAGTTGAATTTAAATTATTTGAGAAAAACTTAAATAATACGTTGCGTATCCAGGAACAATATAACCCACGAGAAACAGATTATATTTAAAATTGAATAAAACGTTAGAGTTATTTAACTGACTTATAATTCGTGCGCTTAACGTTCCTATTTCGTAGCCCTGATTGGGACTGCCACTCCACATACTCAAGTTGGCAGCCCTGTCAGCTGGACTAGGTGACAACACTGTCACAGGCAGTGCTGACGTTCGGCCAAAAAAATAGGAGAAACGTAGTAAAAACACTCGAAAAACAGAGTATTTCGACTAATTAACTTCAGGATCTCTTTGCAAGCGGTTCGGCATCCGAGTGCTAGTCAGGAGAGTTAGTGGGACAGCTAGGGACAGCTGGCGCAACCCACGTTCCAGTTACAGCCGCTGAAAGGGCGACAGATATATCGGATCAACTTGGGAATATTTGCCTCAATTTCAAGATGTTCCCAATCCTCGGCTTCGTTACGCTACTGCAGATCCTTCTGCCCCTCTTGGGACCGGCGGAGGCCTTTTACCTGCCCGGATTGGCGCCGGTTAACTTCTGCAAAAAGGGCGAGGGCACCCCCACATGCAAGGTAAGTGTATGTGAGTGCGGCGGCGGGTGTGTGTTTGTTTTACGGCCGAAACAATTAGCAATATCAGTGGAAATAGCAAGCAATGTAGGGTAGAGGCAATGTTCTGATGATGAACTCCTCTAATGGCGGTCAGGAACGGAAGCGCTGATAAGGCAGGCAGGCGCAGAGCAACAGCCGTCGCCGGCAGTTAATATCATTCCTATGCCAGTTCTACATCTCCGCTGCTGACGTCGACGCCGTTTCTGGTTTGCCTTTTTCTACACGCTTCCAAACGAGATATTAGTGTTCCGATTCCCAAGTTAACGCGGGTCTGTTGTTTCAGCTGGTTCTTTTGTGGGTGCGCGAGTGTTCTGCGGATAAGTGGCCTTTAGCTAGATAAGATCCAAAAAGAAATTCATGAGTTTAGGTAGATCAGTAAATTCTAAATGCGTTTAAAATGTATTCATTATCTTACAAGTTACCAATCGTGGGGTATTTTAGAAGTACTAAATAAGTTTTCTCAAGCTGTCCATATTAATTATTAACATTACAATAGTAGTATGTTAAAATCAATAAAAAACGATATAGCAAGGTGGATTGACATCTGATAGTCAGATGAGATTCTTAATTAATTTATTTTTATATGCACTGGGTATAGTTTCTGAACTTATCATTATGCTGAGTACTGATCATAGAGTAATTTACTTAGACTAAGCCTTATTATCAAATTTATTTATACAAAATGACTTTTAATAAATTGTTAACCCCCCTAGAATACTTTTGTCAAGGCAAACTTCCAGATAAAACCACTTTTATTCCAATAACAAAGTCAAGAACTCATTAAGAAAACGTTTTACGAGAACAAATTATTAATCTCCCTACCAAAGTACAGATAAACGTGACATACGAAATACCAGATAAGATTAAAGGGAAACCTACATTTACCAAGAACCGACTAAACATATTGATTGATCTTTTTATTTTTTTATTATCTTCTGCAGTCGGATGTTGTGCTGTACGTTAACCGGCTGAACACGGAGGAATCGATCATACCCTATGAGTACCATCATTTCGATTTCTGTTTGGGTAAGGAGGAAAACTCTCCGGTGGAGAATCTGGGCCAGGTTGTGTTTGGCGAGCGTATTCGTCCCGGACCCTACAGTATCACTTTCCTGGAGAATCAGCCATGTGCTGTGGTAAGTCAATAGCTAGGATACGATAGCAAACAACAATTGTATAATATGTGATTCACTTGATTATTTTTAAACGGTATTATCGCTGCCACTATTTGTTCCGAATTTACTATTGGCACAATCAAATGAAATATCTTTGGCAAATCGGTTTAGTTAGCTTTAATGCCTGACCTATTTTATGATTGGCTATGCGATTAATTAATCAGATTTACAACTGTTATCTCACTTTTATAGGCCTGTACCAAGGAATACAAGGGTGGCGATGCCATTTCTAACCGCCTGATGATGGTCTTGAAGAAGGGCATTAGCTTGAACTATCAGCATCATTGGATTGTGGACAATATGCCCGTGACCTGGTGTTATCCACTGGAGAATGGAAAGCAGTACTGTGGCACTGGATTCCCGATGGGCTGCCTCGTTCGACCTGATGGCGAGGGTTGCCCAATTAACTCGATTTACAACCAGCCCATGCATTACTATCCCTTCAATCATGTGGACCTGGAGATGACCTATCACAGCGGACAGTCGGAGGATTGGGGAATTGGATTCGGCAACAGTGGACGGATTATCTCAGTGAAGGTTACTCCCAAATCGATTAAGCATACAGATCCCAAGAATCCCAACTGCCTGAGCACTGAACCATTGGCCATTAGCGAGAACTCCCTGAAGCCTGGAGAACAGCTGCGTATTATTTACACGTACAGTGTCAAGTTCGTAAAAAACGACTCAATTAAGTGGTCCTCCCGTTGGGACTACATCTTGGAATCAATGCCGCACACGAATATCCAATGGTTCTCCATTCTCAACTCGCTGGTGATTGTGCTCTTCTTGAGCGGCATGGTAGCCATGATAATGCTTCGCACTTTGCACAAGGACATTGCCCGCTATAATCAGATGGATAGCGGCGAGGATGCCCAAGAGGAGTTTGGCTGGAAGCTGGTCCATGGCGATGTCTTCCGGCCGCCGCGCAAGGGAATGCTGCTGTCCATTTTCCTGGGATCCGGTGTACAGGTGTTGGTTATGGCCATGGTCACCTTGGCCTTTGCCTGCTTGGGCTTCCTGTCGCCAGCAAATCGAGGCGCTCTGATGACCTGCTCGATGGTCTTGTTCGTCTCATTGGGCACTCCGGCTGGCTATGTGTCAGCGCGCATCTATAAGAGTTTCGGCGGACTTAAGTGGAAGAGTAATGTAATCCTCACCTCGATCGTGTGTCCAGGGTAAGTTTATTCCTGGTTTTGTTCTTTACACTTTAACTTCAGCTTATCTAATACCTTTTGGTTATTTCTTTCTTTTCAGAGTGGTCTTCTCTTTGTTCTTTGTGATGAACCTGGTGCTGTGGGGCGAGAATAGCTCGGGAGCTGTGCCATTTAGCACACTGATCGCTTTGCTGGCCCTGTGGTTTGGCGTCTCGGTGCCTTTGACCTTTGTTGGCGCCTACTTTGGATTCCGCAAGCGCGTAAGTGCATAAAATTAGAGGATACTTTTGTATAGAGCTAATGTAATGATATCCATTTGCAGGCCCTGGAGCATCCGGTGCGCACCAATCAGATTCCACGACAGATTCCCGACCAATCGATCTACACACAACCGATTCCCGGCATCGTGATGGGCGGCGTTCTGCCGTTTGGCTGCATTTTCATTCAGCTGTTCTTCATTCTTAGCTCGCTGTGGTCAAATCAGATGTATTACATGTTTGGCTTTTTGTTCCTGGTCTTTTTGATCCTGGTTATCACGTGCTCGGAGACAACGATCCTGCTGTGCTACTTCCACCTGTGTGCGGAGGACTATCACTGGTGGTGGCGCTCCTTCCTAACGTCCGGCTTCACCGCTGTCTACTTGTTCATCTACTGCTGCCATTACTTTGTGACAAAGCTCTCGATCAAGGACAGCGCCTCGACGTTCCTGTACTTTGGCTACACCGCCATTATGGTGTTCCTCTTCTTCTTGCTGACCGGCACCATCGGGTTCTTTGCGTGCTTCTGGTTCATTCGCAAGATCTACAGCGTAGTCAAGGTGGACTAAATGAAATAAAGAGGCAAAAGGAAGGAGAAGCAGGAGAACGAGCTCTGTGCGAATGTATTTTTGTATGTGTAGCCACAAATTTACACTTAAGCCTAATGTGTGTGTGTGTGATTTCTGCGCTGTGCGCCACCCGGCACAGGCAGTTTTCTGTTTAATATAATTACGAATTGATATATGTGTACAATAACATATACCTTGTATCAGGCATAAAAACCGTGGATGAAATGTAATGAAGCGCGCAATAATCTTTAAGCAGTTACCAGCAGACGGCTAAGGTGGAGTCGAAGATATATATCTTTTGTATAGTTCAGAGCGTTCTGTTAATCTTTAGGCATAAAGTTTAGCAATGTCCATTTCCCCCACTTCTATAAACGATTCCAAGAAAAATAAAAAATAAAAAAAAAGAAATGCTAAGAAACACAGAAAAAGTACTGAGCCCAAGTAAAACCGAAGTACTTTAAACACCGTTCTCTATTTGTAATAATCAAAGCCTATCAACTGTAATTAGTGGCTCGAGCAGGATTGATGAATTCTATTGTAATATTTTAAATACTTTAGTTTAAACTATTTAAATCTAACAACTTGCGACTAAAAAATAAACAAAAAATACAAATTATAAAACGTCGATGCCCTTTTCTGGGAACAGAACTAGCTCTTTTCTTCAACCCTTGGCCAACTGACAGTTGTCAGTTGTGGCTTTAGTACGGCTTCCGTGGCCACAGCTTGCGGAAAACGGGGGCAGTGCGAATAAACACTTCCAGCTCAGAGCTTGGCTAGCGGCGCATCCATGTCAGAGATTGTGGACAGCGATGTGGACGAATACGATGAGCTGTCGGAGTTGCGACAACGCCAGAAGCCCGAGTCGCAGACCTCGGTGGATGTGCGTATCCCATCTAATAATTTGCACAACAAATTTATTCCTTGTGGTTACCAGGAGGCCTTCGATCTGGACGACCTGCTGCCCACTATCGGCGAGTTTGGCAAGTATCAGAAGCTGCTGGTCTTTGGCATTTGCCTGCCTGCCTGCATTCCGTGTGGCTTTTGTGCCTTTAACCAGTTATTTATGGCTGATACTCCGGATGACTATTGGTGCCGCATCCCGGAGCTTCTTGATCTGCCGCTGGAGCAGCGCAAATCGCTGGGCATACCCAAGGAAATGGTGAGTAATAGTGCCCAGCGGCAGCCATACGAGTGCTCAGGTAATCAAGTCAGCCCATTGATTGTGCGTTTGTCATGAGTCAGAGGTCGATATAAGGGGTGGTTCGACGAGTAATCGAGGGGCCAACGGGCAATGAAATGACACGGGATAAGAAAGAAGAAAATAAATAAATACAAAATACTTTTACTTTCGTTCGCATTCAGGGATCCTTGAAACTTAAAAAATTGGTTCGACGCCTCTCTCTCGAGGTTGCAAAAACATATCTTGTGTATTGAACAAAGAATTTAAAGATCTCTTTCTAGCAATGTGTTTGTTTTAAATAATCGAAGCATTTGTAACCATTTTTCTTTCCAGGATAACGATGAACTCGTCTACAGCAAATGTTATACCTACGGCGTCAATTGGACACAACTACTGGAGGCCGAAGAAGTGGAGGATATCTTGACCTCCATGGAAGCGAATGTCAGCTGGCCGTTGGTCAAGTGCAGCCAGGGCTGGGAGTACAATACGACCAGTGTCTGGTCCTCGATTGTGATCGATGTGCGGCCAACCAGAACCTCTTTCTTTCATCTCCCAAATCACCGAATCCTTCGTGTAGGAGAAGCTGGCTTGAAACATTTCCCAAGCATCTTGTGTGACATTTTTCCTGCTTCGGGAATAGTAATACATCTATTTAACCCATTCCCAGTTTGATTTAGTTTGCGATCAGGATATCTATCCCACAATTGGACTGGCTGCTCTGAATACTGGCGGACCCGTTGGAGTCTATCTCTTTGGATTGCTTAATGATCGCGCCGGGAGGAGGCTCTCCTACTTCACCTGCCTGGCGACGTTGCTGGCGGGCAGCCTGATGACTTCCCTGAGCACGGACTTCTGGACATGGGCCGGCAGTCGCGTCATCGTGGGGCTGACTATTCCGGCCGTCTATCAGATACCGTTCATTATATGTGAGTGGGATTTGTGATTTATAATTTATTCCTTTTTTGCTTTTACAGCTCTTGAGTTGGTGGGGGAGAACTATCGCTCCTTTGTGACAGTGATGACGTGCACCTTTTACACTTCGGGCATTATGCTGCTTTCGGTAGTAACCTACCTGGAAAGGGATTGGGTGCGCCTGTCCTATATCACCTCGCTGCCCTTTTACGCGTATTTCCTGTACATGTTCGTGATGCCGGAGTCACCGCGTTGGCTCCTGATGCGCGGTCGTTTGGAGGAAGCTCTGAAGATTCTGGAGAGCATGGCCAAGGTCAACGGCAGACAATTCCCGGAGGCAGTGCACCTCAAGCTGGAGGCCCAAATCCGGCGGGACAAGCTCAAGAAGCAGAAGAAGAAGGTGGCCAATGTGGGGCTAATGGATCTCTGCCGCACTCCCAACATGCGCCTGAAGACCATTCTTATAACGCTGAGTTGGTTCGCCAACGAGACGGTCTACCTGGGCCTCAGTTACTATGGACCTTCCCTGGGCACCAATCAGTATGTAAGCTTCTTCCTCTCGGCGGTCGTCGAGCTTCCAAGTTATTTGTGCTGCTGGTACTTCATGGACACCTGGGGCAGAAGGTGGCCCCTGAGCTTATCCATGATATTAGGGTAGGAGCCCAGAGACTGTTTTATTTTCCGATTAACAAACCCCACTCTATGCTTCCAGGGGCGTGGCTTGCGTGATAACAGTGATGCTACCCGATGATGCCGTGGAAGAGACGCTTGTGCTTTATTTGATTTCCAAAGCCCTGCTCTCCGCCTCATTCCTCATCATATATCCCTTTGCCGGGGAACTGTATCCGACTCAAGTGCGTGGCATTGGCATTGGAGCTTCCAGTTATATCGGAGGATTGGGTCTCATTGTCATACCCTTTGTGACTTATCTGGGAAAGGAGAATCTTAAGCTGCCGTTGGTCATCATGGGCTTTGTATCAATGCTAGGCGGTATGACAGGATTACGACTGCCGGAGACACTGCATCATCGGCTGCCGCAGACGATCGAGGAGGGCGAGGAGTTTGGCAAAAACTGGCAACTCAAAGATTGCTGCAGTTGCGCCCAAAAGCCGTGGGTTTATTTTCTTACAATATATATAATTTTTTTATTTATGATTATTCAACTCCAGCGATGTTTTATCCCAACCGCCGTCCTACGAAAACCTAGATGTCCTGGCTGGCTCATCCAACAATGCCTCTGAAGTGGAGCTGGAGATGAAGGACAGCAGACGGGTGCGGGAGTCGGCTCCGCGGATTGATGAGCGCACCCCGTTGGATACGACGGCCAGCGGAAGTGTTCGTCCCATTCACCGGCCATCAATGAAGCGCTTGGTGCGTCAGATGAGCGTCATGGATACCCAGAGGACACACGATGGCACCATGCAGTTGACGCATTGGATTTAGCTTTGTTTCGTTGCAAGATATCTAAGTTTGAGGAATTATTTTAAATTTGTTTACATTATTTCGTTTGAATTAGCAAGAAATTATTTGAACTAAGCCCAGCTAAGCCTATAATAATATTTCAAATTCAATCGTGTTACACTATAAATATCATAGACGTTATACTTATATTATATATTACTTCAGAGGCGCAATCAAGCACAATGTAAGCAATTGCAATTGAATGTGTATAAAATATAAATCAATAAAGGGTTTTAAAATACAATATATATCATAAATACTTCCAGAAAATATCCGCTACAAATGTAGTCTTTTGTTAAGCTAATTGTATTTACAATCCTGGTATTATTTTACTTTTCCTGAACTCATACTTTCGATACGATTTCCCCGTTTGAAGATCAAATATTGATTTAATTGTAGGGCATTGCTATTAAGCTTTGTTTACTTGCAACTATAAACAATACAGCGCATAAAACAAGTCAGGTGATGAAAGGTAAGTAGAAACCGAAAATTAATTCTTCAAACATATCCGGTAAAAATAAATAAATAAATAAGTATATAGCATTTGGCGACTTCTCAATCACTGCAAATTGATTTATGCAATTTATGCGGGCAATTATGCAATTAATTGTTGTCAAACAAAAAGAAAACTTGTTTACGACGAACAATGGAGGAATGCGAGAAATTGCCCGCAGCTGTCGCCCGCCGACGACTGCTGGCGGTCACTGTCAGCCGTAGGAAGTGCCTGGTCAACCCATGGGAATCACTGAGCACGGCACTCGAAGAGGGGTCAGGGGTATGTCGGAACAATAAAGTTTTCGAACTCTATACTCCGTTGTAATATTTTTCAAGTATCGGGTGTCAAAATGTAAAAAACGAAATTTCCAGTTCCAAAATGTCAAAATTGAAAAAGCTAACAATCCCAAAGAAATCCCACGCTCCTCCACCGTCGCCGCCGCCGCCACCACCACCGCCGGCAAGCAGGATGAGTGTGCTGGAACTGCCGGAGGATGTGGTGCGTCGCATTTTTGAGTTCCTGCCCCACTTGGTAGATAGAGTTCGGCTGGCCAATGTAGCTGACAAGTTCCGGACGTCCTTCGAGGCGTGGGCTCGCGCCAAGCGGCATGTCCTGGATGTCGAGCAATTGGAGACTATGCGACTGCCTGAACTGATTGTCTTCTTTAGGCTGGCGGGTCCCTTTATCCGAGTCCTCAAGGTGGACTGCTCCTCCTTCCAAAAGGAGTCGCTGCTCTCGGAGTTCATATCGGAGTATTGCCCCAATCTGGAGGAGATCAATTACTCCAATGCCAACGATGAGTTCCACTATCGCACCATCATGTCGCGGATGACACACCTGAAGCGAGTCCACATCGAGTGTATGGACACCGAGGATGTGTTGAACTTCGATCTGGAGGCCAACCAGGATCTGGAGTCCTTCGAACTGGTCAATGGTTGTTACACAGGTGGGGAAGGTATCCATTTATTTATTTTAATTAATTTTGGTATTTATCTTGTTTAGGAAAACACCTCTGTGGCTTTCCCAAGCTCACGAAGCTGGTCCTGCGCGACTGTCTACTGTGGAACTCGGGGGAATTCGGAATACCCCTCAAGTCACTGCGCGTCCTGGACCTCGATGACTGCTGCTTCGAGGTGATGAGCCAAAGTCTTTACCAGAAGATAGCAGAGAGCTGCATTAACCTAGAGGAGCTCATCTTTTCCGGCGGCGACGCCAACTTCGAGGTGATAGCCCAGCTGCCCAACCTGCAGCGCTGCACCCTTAAGACCTGGATAACTTCCAATGAGCTTAACATTGGATTCCTCACGCAGCTGGCCGAGAATCATGGCAACAAGCTTACCCATCTGCATCTGTCTGGCCAGTTTCTCATTACCAACGAGCATGCCCGCTGTTTGGGTCAGCTGAGCTCCCTTCAGGAACTACGGTGGACGAACAACGATATCCTGGAGGACGACCACTTCAAGTTCTTCAACGATCTCAGCCAGCTGGGGCGGTTCGGGATGACGTGGTGTGGCATGGTGGGGGACACGGGTATGATGCGACTGGTGCGCAAGTGCCTAGAGGTGAAGATCATCGACTTGCAGGACTGTGACGAGATCACAGAAGAGTTCGTGATCAATGCCATCGGATGCTGCTCCAAGGGTCCGGGACGGAACCTGGTAATTAATGTGAAGCGCACCAAGATCACGCCGAACGTCTTGACGGTGGGTTTGAGGGAATGTCCTGTTATAGATTTTAATAATTAACTCTCTTTCAGCATCCGGATTACTTGTCGTCCTTGAACCACGTCAAGGTGAACTTTCTAAGTGAGTGATCCTGGAAGGTAACTACAAGGAATTGCAAAGGAGTGGTTATATATTTTTTTAAGTTGACTAACTCAAATAAAAATCTTTTCGTAACTGAAAACATTTGTAACATTCGATGGCCTCGAATTCCTGATATTTCAGCAATCGCTGCCACGAGACAATGGGGATTCTCTCTCTGGACTGAGTCATGGTATAGTCGTCTGCCATAAGGAAGTGGCCACCAGCGACCACCAGCGACCACCGAAGTGATCAATATTTATGATCATGCTCACAATGCTCCATTACAGCCGCGATAATTGCGGACAAGCGTGTGTGCTTCGAAGCACTTGGTTTTTTTTTTGAACAAAAAACCAAAATCAAAATCAAAACAATACGATATTCGATATAGTTCAGAATCCGCGATTCAATTCGATTCAATTCAAACGATCGCCGGCAATAAATTTCGCATTCAATTGTTGCTCGATTGGAAGTGAACTTTGTGTTTGCCTTTCCAGTGGCCAATGATGTCTGTGTTAGCAGCAGGAAGCTGCTGTGGACCAGTCCAGATCACAGACCAGTTGGTTACACTCGGGAAAAGGCCAGTAAATTGGAATGCGAGCCTTAAAAACTTTATTCTGGCAAAATTAGATTGAAACATCTTTACAAAATTCTTGACTTTCTAAGTATTTAAGGAAAAATTCAAAAATATTTACAAGTTTCTAGAGCTACTTTTGAAAGCAATAACAAATCATTTTCCCTTCCAAGTTCTAAGTGTTTCTGTAAATTTTTATGACAGTGTACTGCGAGTTTAAACTCACCTGTGGCCAGTCTATATTGGTTAGTCATAGCGATACGTTAGCGTTTTGTGTTTCAGCTTGACCTCGAGTGGCTCCTTAAATGGCTGTCGGCAGCAATCGCTTTGAGTCTCCTCCGATCGGTGCTCGGGGGGTTAGGGGGCACCTAGACAAATGCCTTGACATGTTCAGGTGTCTGCCATGCTCTCTAGACTGCCTGACTGCCTGACTAATTAGCGTACTTTAACTAGACCAGCAGCTTGCGGTGACATTTGAAGACCAGGGACCAAAACCGGAGAGACATCTGCCAAGTGGCATCCATCCATCCTCAGAGGAGAGTTTGCATGAGTAGAGCAAATTAAGCAGAGGCAGAGATGCCACAGCCCCCCGACCATTTATCCATTTTTCCATAGATACTATATACTCGAAGCGTGGCCAATCACGCCTGTGAATTATTTAAAAATCTCCGCTGGGCCGTCGTCTTATTTCATAAGAGAGAGACAAGCCTTAAAATTGTTACCCTGATGCCATAGAAATTCGTGTTGTCGTTGTCGTTGTTCGCCGCCGTTACTGTTCGTAACGTTCGGGGGCCTTGCGATTATGGGAAATGGCTTTTGCTTCGGCTCTGGCTCTGCTATCGCTTGGCACACACCTCTCGATGCGATGGATGAACTTTTAGTGTCGCTTAACGCCTGGGAAGAACCTCAAAAAGGGGCGGAATCTGGGGGTTTTCATCTTAATGGCTAATGGGAGTGAGTGGAAGTAAAAGGCAGACGATCGAGGATCCAAGCGGATTTCTGGGAAAAAGTGTGGCAAATATGTAATGTCATAATGCGGGCTTATATTGTCTTCAGATGAGATCAGATGAGAATAATACATTTTTAAATCAAAAGTTATTTTAGATTTTAGATTTTATATTCGATATTCTGGTTCTATTTTAAATCTTTTGAATATTGAAACTTGGGAAATCATTATATAGTTAAAAAAACTCGTGAATGGGTCAACTGTTATTTTTTGTATTAAATAAAATAAAAAATTCTTATTTATTTCATAAAAGCACCCTTTTTGTCGCTTAAATATCGATAATGAAAATTAAGATAAATTAATAAATAATATTAATTTGAATATTGGGTTCATGTGGCGTATACGCAATATTCAGTGGTCGAAATCTTGTTCAAATCAGAATTAAATTGTTTGCATGAAACAAAAAAAGATCAATCATTATGTATTATGTACATGTCATTGAGTACCTTTTTTTATTATTATTATCTTAACCAATAACACTGCATGATTGCCTTATTTTTCTTTAAAAAACAAATAATTGTCATGATTCTACGATTTCCCCCTCTGCGCGGCATTTGAACCGAACTTAACACGTTAACAAATCTCTTAATTTCGTTGGCTTTTGTGGAAAAACATTTATATCCCCTTGCGGATACGAAATACATTTTTATGAGACACCCACGGACAGGCAAGCGGTGAACGACCCACTTTGTTTTGAATTCGCAAATTATTTTGTGGCACGCCACATGCTGCAATAACAACACTAACGCGACTTGCCAACATTAATTTAATATTAAAATTACAATATTTTCGTTTCTCTTTCTGTTTTTGTATTTTATTTTTCTTCTTGGGGCAGATCCGATGTGCCTCCATTTGATTCTCCGGGGATGTTTTCATGCACGATGAGGATGATGATGATGATGATGCAAAAGTTAATTTGCAATGCGCGGTGCACACTCCTTGTTCTCTGGTGAACTTTTCGGGGGAGAAGCGATTGATTGGCACATTAGCAACAAATTGTTAGTACATCTTATTTAAGCCGTTTAATTAATTCCGCGCATTCTGACTAGCCGAATAATTTGGCGAAAAAATACAATACAATAAAATAAAATAAAAGCAGACTTAAAGTTACTAAACTAGCAAATACTCTTAAGGAGTATGACAATGTAATTTTTGTGTAGTTCCATTTTAAAATGAATTACTAAATAAATGATTTGCGGCATTGAAATCACTTGATAATATTTAAATATTCGTAAATTTTTTTGAGGATTTAGTCGAATTAAATTTTTAAAACTATTAAATTTATACCTAATACCAATCCTTTTCTTTTAATATTTATGGAACCCTGTACATTTTGAGTTAGTTTAAAAATTATAAGGAAATCAAAGACAAATTCGTGGAAATGTTTCTTTTTAAATTAAATTGAATTATTATTAAATGAAATATGAATTTAATTGAAACTAATCTTCAATTTCTACCTATTCACATTTCACATTTATAAAAAAATTATAATATAAGATGTATAACCGAAACACTTTCTGTAAGAGTAGAAGCCAAATTAAGAACCCAAAAAATATAAAACCAAAATGCGAGGAAAACAATCATCGGAGGCACACGAAGTGAGCTGGGCTTCCAGCTTCATCATCATCATCATCGTCCACATCGTCGTCATCATCTGTGGGCCTGCATCTCTGGCCAATTGCCAGTGGAAGACGTGCCTGGGCTTGTCAAGGTGCCCCGACTTGACTGGATCCATATATATACATACCTATGTTTATACATATATATATATATAACTATGTTGGGGGCAAACATAGAAGCTACCTTCAATTTGACAAAACGCGATTGCATGCTGCCTTTCCATTGCCGCTGACCAAGTTCTGTTCGGTGCTATCAATTGATACAAATCTATGCAGTTTAAGAATATAGAGACATAAAACATGGCCCACTCCGGCCAGCCATCCAACTGTTGCCACACTGAATGCCAATAAATAATACAGTGGAGCCCCTCAAATATATGTATATGTATGTATGTATTCACTGTAGTATCTCTGCTTACCGACACAGAACATATCGGTCCTAGACAGGTCGAGGTCGCCTTTTGAGCGCCGCAGGTGAGAAAATGGCCAACGGAGCAAGAGAGAGAGGTCCAAAGATTCCACTTTGCTGCCTCCAAACATGCAACTGGCAACTGGCTGACACTGCCGGAGACTTGGACACTGGGACAGAAGAAGCATTGGAGCGGTGAAGAAACCCATACTAAAATTACGAATGATCGTTGAACTGACTTAGGTTAGAAACTATAAGTTGCTCTTTATTTATTTTTGATTCTTATTCAAATTTGATTATTAATCAAAAGGATTTTAATTTAAAGTAGTCGCTAAATAATTGATTAAAACGTAAAAAAAATTATACCATAATATAACATAATAATAAAGTCATCTATTTTGTGTCTTGGCAAAGTAAACTTTAGAAAGAACTTTAGAAATGATCTCAGTGTAGACTCGTCTTTTCTACATTTTATAATAGACAATTAGAGATGTCTGCTGTTGCAATTCAGGATACACAGGAATTATTTTTGGGGTATTAATAAAATCTGAAGAATGTTTCAAATTAAAATTTAGCATCCTTGCTTATTTGTGCATCAATAAATGTTAAGACTTTTCAGGGTTAAGTAAATTTTATTTCCTTGTTCTGGCTTTTGCAGAAACTATAAAAATATAAGCTCTAACAATATTGCCCCCCTTATTCACTCAATGGATTCTGTATTTATGGTTTTTGCTTTTTTATAGTTCATTTCCTGCAGTGTAGCGACATCTTCTTCCATCTTGGGAGCCGGCAATTGGAGCTGCCTGCTGCGGTTCTGTCTAGAACATCGTGTGCTCTTTATCACTGACAGATTGTGCTGGCCATTTAATTTATTGCGATTCCCACATGCAGCACCCAGTAGAACATTGTTAGGAGTAGAGAGATCTTGGTAACTGTGACACGGTATCGAATAGCCGCCGGCTCAAGTAATTCGACTCGAGTTATTTTGCCTGGACAGCAACGGCAACCTTTAGAACAGCATCATCCATCTGCATAAATCAATTGTTGACTGCGACGACTTACAAATGAGGCGGATATCTTTCCTTTTTTTTTTTATCTCTAGTACCAAGCCACTTCCCTAATGCCAATTGCATGTGAACTGTCTCAATGTCAGGTGAATAAAGATGGGGATCTCTCGGATACCTCATTAATCAGTTTCGATTGCACGGATGTCAGTCTGCATTAGAACTGAATTTGTTGGATTATCTAGGGTTGGTTTTTATGGAAAACTAAACTAATACTTGGAATTTGGGCTTTTCAATCAGTAATATATTTAAAATGTATTTATTTTTTAAATGATAAAGTGTATAAACTAGTAATTTTATTTTTTAAATATTTTAAAGCAATTATAGAAAATGATTGAACAAATATTCATCATTAAAAAGTAATAAACAACATTAAAAATCCCCACTTTATTACT